CATCATCGCATGTGTCTGTGGGCAAGACAGGCATGGTTTTTGTGGCTTTCTGGGCGTCTGCAGCATTGCTCATAGCAGTGTTTGCAATGATAAGGACACTCAAAAGGAGAACGCAAACCAGGTGGTGGCCCAACCGTTTGACCACTGCTCTCAGCCCTCGACGAAGGTGCATCCGCAGAGGCCTCAGGCTCCACCACACTGAAGCTAGCCACAGGAGCCGCTCCTGAATCAGAAGCGTCACCTGTCAGCTTCTGTCTCAGCAAAGCAGATGCTTTCTCAATCAACTCCGCAAGTTCAGCAACTGAATAATCGCTAAGATCCGTTACAGCTCTGAACCCCATGGCATGCGAAGATCAAAAAATAAGGGGATCCCACCCTCCCTCCTCTTGAGAAGTGATGGCAACGATCGCTTGAAATTGCAGTCAGTGCAATTCACTCCCGAAATAAAATAAAGTCACATGTGACAGCAATATTTCATAAACATCTACATAAGAACAAAAGGGGAAAACCTGAAAGTGCGAAGCACTGAAGAATATTTATGTTAACCTTGTTTGATTAATTGACCTTGGAACTCAAAACTACCCTCATCTGGGGAAGTGCGTAATTGATGGAACCTCGAAACCTTGCAGCCAAAACAAATGGGGGGTCCCCCAATGAAAAGAAATGGCATTTCTGCCCATCAAGTTGATAGGATTTCTTCCCATGAAAGTTGGTTGGTTCTGAAGAGATCAAAATGTTTTATACATACAGCAATGGGGGTAGTTTTGATTAAATAGGGATTACTTATCAAAGGAAGTTTAGGGGGAGAAACTTCCGTGTTACGGACTTTTAGAATGTCAGGGAAAGAGTTAGTCAAAGAAAGAGTTAGTCAAAGAAACAGTTAGTCAGGGAAAGAGTTAGTCAAAGAAAGAGTTAGTCAAAGAAAGAGTTAGTCAAAGAAAGTCAAAGAAACAGTTAGTCAGGGAAAGAGTTAGTCAAAGAAAGAGTTAGTGAGGGAAAGAGTTAGTAGTTCAAAGAAAGAGTCAGTGAGGGAAAGAGTTAGTCAAAGAAAGAGTTAGTACAAAGAAGTTAGTCAGTTAGTCAGTCAGGGAAAGAGTTAGTCAAAGAAAGAGTTAGTGAGGGAAAGAGTTAGTTAGTTAGTCAAAGAAAAAGTTAGTCAAAGAAACAGTTAGTCAGGGAAAGAGTAGTCAAAGAAAGAGTTAGTCAAAGAAAGAGTTAGTCAGGGGAAAGAGTTAGTCAAAGAAAGAGTTAGTCAAACAAAGAGTTAGTCAAAGAAACAGTTAGTCAGGGAAAGAGTTAGTCAAAGAAAGAGTTAGTCAGGGAAAGAGTTAGTCAAAGAAAGAGTTAGTCAAAGAAAGAGTTAGTCAAAGAAACAGTTAGTCAAAGAAAGAGTTAGTCAAAGAAAGAGTTAGTCAGTTAGTCAGGGAAAGAGTTAGTCAAAGAAAGAGTTAGTCAAAGAAAGAGTTAGTCAAAGAAACAGTTAGTCAGGGAAAGAGTTAGTCAAAGAAAGAGTTAGTGAGGGAAAGAGTTAGTCAAAGAAAGAGTTAGTGAGGGAAAGAGTTAGTCAAAGAAAAAGTTAGTCAAACAAAGAGTTAGTCAAAGAAACAGTTAGCCAGGGAAAGAATTAGTCAAAGAAAGAGTTAGTGAGGGAAAGAGTTAGCAAAGAAACAGTTAGTCAGGGAAAGAGTTAGTCAAAGAAAGAGTTAAAACTCTAGGATCGTTCCCTCACTGTAAATGGCATTGCAAGTGGTGCTGGTGGAGGAGTTGCCGATGGAGTTTGGAAGGAAATCTCGCACGAAATGCGTTTTTGAGAGATAGCAGATGCACGAAACCCTATGTTTTTCCATACAAAGTCTGTCCCCGAACCTCGATGATCTACCTCTGCGGTGCGACGGGTGCGAGACGGTCTCGTGTGTGGTCGGATCATGCTCGGATGGTCTCGGATCGGTCTCGGATCGGTTCCGCATTGTAAATGGGGTTTCAACTGTTTTTCGTGCATGTGTGGTCGACAGAATTCCATTGTGATTTGCATCTGTAGGATCGTTCCCGCATTGTAAATGGGGTTGCAAGTGGTGCTGGTGGATGAGTTGCCGATGGAATTCCATTGTGATTTGCAACTCTAGGATCGTTCCCTCACTGCAAATGGGATTGCAAGTGGTGCTGGTGGAGGAGTTGCCGATGGAGTTTTGGAGGAAGTCTCGCACGAAATGCGTTTTTGAGAGATAGCAAATGCACGAAAGCCTATGTTTTTCCATACAAAGTGCGTCCACGAACGTCGATGATCTACATCTGCGGTGCGACGGGTGCGAGACGGTCTCGTGTGTGGTCGGATCATGTTCGGATATTCTCGGATCGGTCTCGGATCGGTTCCGCATTGTAAATGGGGTTTCAACTGTTTTTCGTGCATGTGTGGTCGACAGAATTCCATTGTGATTTGCAACTGTAGGATCGTTCCCGCATTGTAAATGGGGTTGCAAGTGGTGCTGGTGGATGAGTTGCCGATGGAATTCCATGTGATTTGCAACTCTAGGATCGTTCCCTCACTGTAAATGGCATTGCAAGTGGTGCTGGTGGAGGAGTTGCCGATGGAGTTTTGGAGGAAGTCTCGCACGAAATGCGTTTTTGAGAGATAGCAGATGCA